TGAATACCATTTCTTATATGTATATCAAAGTCACTGACTTATCAAACATCTCACGTATATGGAGTACACATCATACATGCATATAAATATATATGTGTATGTGTGAGTGTCGTGTCGAGTGTATAGGAGTGATACACTTATATATCTTAAACAATATGTAAGTCTTTCATTTTTATTACAGAATACAACGCATTTAAGATTATCTTTCTCTCTCCTGTTTTAAAATATCACTTATGATTAAAATTTATTGTCGTTATATATTTGGCAAGTTTTACTATCTAATAATAAAATATAGGTAAGCACACCATGAGGTTTCATGAGTTTAGAGAGAAAGTATTCGAGCAGCTGCATACTTTTTTATATATATCTTTAATGCTGTCCTTTTTAACGAAATGCTGCAGTAGATTATTAATATTCATGTTATTAGAGAAGTTACGTGTAGTAGTATAATAATAGTAATAGATAAATATGATAATTATGCATTTGATAACATTATACATACAACAATCTTTTTCTTCCTTATAGAAAGAAGATAATTCGATATATATTGATAATTATTTTAAATCGATCTTTTATATTTGTACAAGTATGCCTAATATCTTTAGTCTTTAATAATGTTTGCAGCTTACTTGAATCTTAATCTCGAGATTGTTCGACCAGTCTCTAGTTTGTAATATTAGGCACTGGGTCTCAATTAAGAACCTCAGCCTTAACGACAGTATTTTAAAACAATCTATAATATTGTAAGTAACAGCCTTATTTATGAAAAAATCTTTCTTGTGTGAAGTCTTTCTTACGACGAACAGTCGATCGACAAGAAAGCTAAAAGCTCACGTATTTGTCAGTTGATTAATTCGTAATTTATTCAATAATCATGACATTCGCACGGTTAAATAAAAAATGAGTTGAATTGTTCATTGCTACATTTTCATTGTTTATGGTTTTATATATGATAATAAATAGAATAATTTAATGATAATAATTTACATAACACATGTAGAAATAAGAGTTAAATATGAGGGAAATTCCAAAAGTAAGTTTCTCTTTTCATAAGAAAAAAAACTGGTTATACGAGTAACTTGTACATTGTAAAATTTTTTCTTTGAAGTATGTTGGTAACATTTTTGCATTCAAAATTGTCTTTATTGCAACCATTGTTAGCCAAATAAATTTAAATCATGGAGGCGCTAATACAAGATGTGTCCGATTGCGAATTAACAGTTTTCGACCATATGAAACGAAAATGCAATAAGAGATATTCATTGTCAAATAATTTCTGTATATAAAGAAAAAAAAACAGTTAAATACCAAAAATTTTTACAGCGATAAAATGAGTAAGTCAAGGCTAAAGTGAAATTGTGGTTTAAGAACAAATTTTTAAAATACTGATATAGAAAAACTGGTGTTACGTTACGACAAGTACTTAAATATTAATGGTAACTACGTTGAGAAATAACTTAAGGATCAAAAGTTAAAATAAAAAAGTTTTATATATCTATATAAATTGTGCTATCTTCCATTTTATTTTTTCCTACGGTAGGAAAACTTTCTTTTAGAATGCCCCTCTTATGTTCGATATTCAGTTCTAAAGATTTTGTTTGGAAGTAATAAGGTGTGGAAATTGATTCATTTAATATCTAACTATATTAATTACAATCAACGTATAATATATTATATATATATGTACATATATGAAATATCAAAGGTAGATTAATGATAGACCTTCATTTTGTTCGAATCGGAAAATAAAATAGAAGAATTAAAAGAGATTTTTTTGCAAAAATATTATATGTATATGTTAATATGTATTTTAAAAACTGTTTTAAGTTTTGATAAGAAATAGTATAATCATTTCATATATGTATTTAACAATGTCAATAAGATTTTACTTTTAGAAGTTTTTAATCTCTCGCAGTAACAACTTGTTACTCACGCTTTGTTACTCGATAACGTAATAAAATTTTTGTTAAGAAATATAACAAAATATAAATTACATCTGTATACATCTATTACAGTCACAATAATAAATTTAATTATAAATATTTGCAATAACATCTTAATATGATGTTGTAAACAATAAAAACTCTAATATTTTGTGTTGATTAGTTTATTAAAATTCATCAAAAATTTCAAGAAAAAGTGAAAGTCAAAGAGGGGTATCTATTATATGATATGTTTGCGCATTTGTGTCATGTGTGTAGGTAATAATAATATATGTGCACATCCACTATTCACAAAAAGTTTCTAGACATTGTCGTTTCTCGTTATTTCGAGTATATTTAAGTAAAGAGCAGATACATATATGTATATAGGTATTTGATTATATTTTAAAAGTAATAATTTGCGAATTACTATTATACATATACTTATTGCGCAATATGATAAAATCATCTTTGTTTTAATTCACAATGAATATTACGATAAACTCAATGACTTAAAGCTTTAAATATAAAAATTTTGTTACCATGTCCGGAAACTTTTCGAAGGTTATAGTGTAGATATGTGGTATTCAAAAATACAAATATAAAGTTTTCCCAATCAAGTCATACACACAGAACCGTCATTTAAATATCAAATTATACATATAATAGTTATATCCAGTTTTTTTGCATTTACGTCTTTTATAACTACAAAAGCTGGAAGTGATTATTTTTTCAGCTACAAAATAAGCTACATAAATTATAATCGTCCTATACAGTTTCAATTTTTTATAGGATTACAAGAGACTTTTATATTTATTGTCATTAAAACGCATTCTTTAACCCTTAATTGTTTGATCAAAATTTATAATAACAGTATTGTCTTATTACAATATTGCCCAGAAATGGCAAAATTTTAAATTTAATAAATATTTTGTGTGTAAAATATTGAAAGAGACACGTAATAAATTTACGTTACTATTATTACGTTGTTCTTATTACGCTTGTGAACATTAAACATTTAAGGGTCAATTGCTTGCATGTACCACTAGCATCAATTATATTCACAAAAAGCTTTTGTCTTATAATTTCGTTTTATGAGATATCAGAAATAATTTTTCTTGTTTTTTTTTCTTTTTTTACCACAATTTATAGTTATATATTTGTATTAAGAACACAGAAGTATTATATGCACAAACCTTTCCTTAAGAATAATTATTGTCTTTTGTTTATAATATACATCGGCACAATAATTTCTTGCTGGATCATCGAAGAATACATTAAAGTTTCTTACATTGTAAGTTAATGTACAATGTCAAAATCTGTTAGATATAAGTCTTACTAATTTATTGTCCAAGTATTGTTCTTATATGTATATTTAGGAAGAAGCGGGAATGCAACATTTTATTTCGCACAGTTGCAAATATTCATATACAAACATCCCCGAGAATATTTTGTCAAATTTAAATCGAATATTGAATACAAATAATATCTGTCTATTGATCAATGACGAACTAAAAAGAAATATAAAACATGTATTCTATAAAACTAAATTAAAACAATCAAAATTGATAAAATATATAATTTTACTCTATAATTGTGTTATGCGCAAATTATTTAAATAATAAATAACTAACTTACAAGAAATGACATTACATTAAAATATATAACAAATTAAAAATATATAAATTAAATATACAAATTAAATATACAACAAATTAAAATATATAATAACCCATGATCTTTAATCATGTTCATGATTTTCACTTAATAATATCAAATGTCTGATGATTTCTAACAATAAGTTCTGTTTTCTGGAATAGTATTAAAATTCTGCATGTGCAATCCGCAAATGTGATTCAGTCTATGCAACTGCGCATTGAATTATATTTATATTTTGAATTTTTTCGCAATGTACTTGATTAGCGATTTTCCATTTTTCATATTTTTAAAACTCAATTTCATATTTCAAATAAATTGCGCCTTATTTAACAAGAAATATGAAACGTTACTATTATTTTGTAAAGACAGGTTGAATGATTTTTTTCGTAAAATTAAACACATTTAGATATCTTGTATTCTTGTGCCAAATGATTGAAGAGATTTCTATTCTCTTTAACATATACAAGTTAGATTTTAAGAAAGAGAGGAGAAAGACAGATAGAGACAGAAAGTGAGAAAGAAAGATGAAAATTGCAATTTTGGATTTTATATCATATCTAAAATTATTGTATTGTAGTTTTTAAAGATATTGTAAAAGGGAAATTTGCTTTTTCTGAGCTTCTTTGAGGATCAAATAATTATTATGTGTCAATTTAAGAAATCTATTGTAACATATTAATTCTTTTCCGCTTTATACAAATTTAAAAACCGCGAAAAATTTTACAATCCATGAAAATATGCTGTTCCATATCAAATTACACATTTCAATGTTGCACAAATATATCAAAAAAATGCATGCAAATTATCAATAAAATCAGCCTGATATGCAAATTGATTTCATGCATTTAATGTTAAATTTTGCATTTTCTATTTTATCAAGGATATGCAGGCAAATTATGATACATTCAGGAAGTATAACTTTTTGAAGCTGTTAATTCAATAGAAGTGCCATTCGATCCATTTCTTAGGCCGGTCACACACATTCAAAGAAACTTGCTCAAGTGGCTTGCTTAAGCATATTTGACAAATTTACTTGAACGTGTGTGGCCGACCTTATATATATGTATACACATATACATATGTATATATTTCTTTTTTTCTGAAATTTTGTTCAGGATTTAAACTTTCAATGCGGAAAAAGAATTTGTTTTTTTCGTTATATATGATGATTTCGTCATATTGAAAGGGGTTTTTTTGGTATTGGCCAATATTAGATTAAAATTTCTGATTTACACTTACTATTGACATAAAGACTTAAAAGTTCGCGCAGAGATCCAGAAGCCACAGGTTCTTCAAAAGTTTGCGCAGAAATCCAGAAGCCACAGGTTCTTCAAAACGCTTACGATCTTCGAGATGAGTATTGTTTCTCTTACTGCAGTTTGCAGCAAAAGTAACAACACTCATCTTGCAGCTTCGCTGTCACTTGCAATTGGCTGCAACTGCATCGTGCAAAACAGTCAGAAATACCAGTATGCATGCGGCAGTTTTTTCGGATTTGTACCGTTTCCTCACAGCAATTCGCATCACCTTAAGATAACATGTACTCTCGTGAGAGAGGTCCGCTCCTCTGCGAAAAAAGAATAATGTACGTCATTGTTTATATTAAGTGATACTTGTAGAATATTACGATATAACAATATTTTTAATTGAAGGATATACGAAATATAGAAATCGTAAACACGAAATAAAATATGCGATCTGTAAGATATAAGTATATTTAAATTTGAAAAAAAAGAAAATTTTGAAAGAAATAATTATAATAAATAAAATCATTTAAAATTTTATAATAGGTATATTATAATCAAAATTATAATAATATTTAATTAAATCGGGACAATGAGAAATTATTACGTTATAAGACATTGAATTTAGGATAAGTTAAAAAAAAAATAGTACAATCTATAAAATCTTTTTTGCTAGTTTTTACGTAGAGGTAAAGAAAGAACATACCGACCAAGCTTGACCAATATTAGGCGGATTGTTATAACGTCGCTGATTGTAATCGTAATTGACATTTGGTGTCATTTCTAAGAGTGGCGGGTTGAAGAATTGTTTTCGCAACTGTTGTCTATTCAATAATTGCTCTTCGTTTATTAGGTCTTTATTGCCTTTAAAAGCATTCTGTTTCATTTCTTCCTCAGCTATATGTTGCTCCTGAAATATACCTTGTATAAATGACCTTTATAATACTTTTGAAGTTTTCACGGAAGTTTTCTTCAGAAGTGTCAAAGGATTTCCGGATTATATCACCGTGTCGTGATTGGTGACTGACCTGTAATTCGCGTGCTCTCTCGACTTGGATAAGATTTTTGAGCGTTTCAAATCTGCCGGATTGAGGAACCAGTGAAGAGACGCCGCCGCCGCGCAACTTAGTTTGAGTAGCTATCTTGTACGGTCCCGTATTCACAGTCCCAAAATGTCGCGAGAGATCCTCGATTACCTTCATACGCGAAGGCCCCCGCATTCCGTTTCGCCATCTAATTCCTGGTGGACCCTTATGCACCATCCTTCCATAAATCGGACTTCCTGCGGCCCGATTGCGCGGTCGTCCAGCGTGTCTCCCTGCAAATTATTAATTTTTCACTTCATGTGCCTATCTATTCTCTTTTTTTCTACAATTATTATTTTGCACAACATAAATAATTCTCTTCTTTTTGCGCGAAAATCAATATTACCATGAAAATAAGAACTAATCATAAACTCAGTCCGAAAAATATATACACAAGCATTTGTAATTGTATTTAATCAAGTTTTATTACAATGCAAATCTTGCTAAGATTTTATTATTAATATGTTCCTTGAAAGAAATTCCATAAATATGTAATGTAAAATTATCTGAGGTAATTTGAATCTTCTTCTTTATTCTGACTTCTTTTCAAAGAAAAAGAGAGCTTATTAATAAGAAAAAAAGTTGACAGTTTAGAATAAATTAATTAATGCCCGTTTCCACCGATGTAGATTAATTTTAATCTCGGTTTAACCTACTGTTCATCTTTCTTTAATTTTTGCTAAGAACTAGAAAAAGACAACGAGCAGATTGAAATGAAATTAAAATTAATCTACATTGATGGAAATGAGCATAAAAGTATCTTAAATTAACACATGCTTTCGGAATAAACAATCTAAATGTATAACACATGATTAAAATTGGTTAAAATTACCGAGATTGCCGTACATGCGTTGTTTGCGTGGGTGACATCAGGAAATATTATGGAATTATTCAGAATGGGTTCTAATCGGATTATTCAATTATGCTAGATTTCTATTGCGTTCTCTATTGAAGATGGAATAATTCCGAACGGAATGTTTTCCGATTTGTCTTATGATATAGGTGCCCACTGGTTAGGTCAAAAACCTCGTATATACATATATTACGTTTTAATGAATCAAAAAGATATGAAAAGGATTGCTGGCGTTTTGCACAGAGCTCAAAGATTTGAGAACATATTGTAAGAGAACATATATTGTATGTTTGACCTGAGGGTCACACAATCATGTATTTTTTTTTATTATTTACTATTTATTATTTTACTATTGTACTTTTTCTCTAGTGAATAATTTTTGTATGTACACGGAAAGAATTAAATCTTAAAATTTACCCTGAAAATATGGTAATCGTGGGACAACATTATATTTCGAAGAATTTTTATGTAAATCTCTCATATTCATTAATAAAACTACAATAAAATATAAAATAAGTATGATTAATTTTACTGAAGTGCATATGGTAAAAATCTTTAAATTTATTGTATTGTACCATAATTACTATATTTTCAGGGTAAATTTTAAGAAATCCTTCTCTCCGTGTACTTAACGAAAAATAATTTTATTTAATGTTTTAGAAAGTTCTTGACATCAAAGATTCTGAAATAAAAGATAAAAAGTCCTTAATAAAAAAATCGATTTGACCTTAATCTGACCTGGGCAACGCCATCCAAGATCAAATGAATGTGATCAGTAAATAAATCTTTTTAAATCCTACAATTTTTGTCTGAAACATTTTTCTCAAAAATGCTCTGTGCTTTTGAGATATTCGAATTCATGGAGGTAGAAAGAGTTAATTGATTTTCGGTTAATAAGAATTGCAAGAGAAGACTACTAAACGATTTAAGCGCAATGTAGGTATGTTAATTGCATGTTTGCTTTGTATAGACAATCGGATTTAAATGCGGTCAAAGCGTTCGATTCGTGCCTATATGATACTATCGCGCTAGCATAGGTAACCAACATTCTCCCAATAATTAGCCTGAATCGTGTATACTCGTTAGCGTAAGTGCTCGGTGCATACGTGGTAAAGTAGCGCGCTTGACCCATATGTGTGGCGTATTTGCAAAATGGTATTACAATCTGTCTGTATAGGTTCATGTTGCAACTCATGGACTCTACGATGCATAACTCAAGTTATAAAATCGATAAAACGCACGTGTTCCTTTCCTTATATTACGAATTTTATCAGAATGATCGCGTTTTTTTTTTTATAATATATCGAAGAAAATATATATCAATTCGTGCAAAAATTCTTATCATATTGTTATCAAGTTGTCCGATAAATATTCGCTAACAAAGTGATTGACGGGAAATAGAATTTATTCTCAAAATAATTTACATTTATTAAGACACACACTATACTGTTAAATTTATAAAGTCAAACTTAATTTACAGCATTTTCTCTTGGCTGCACTATCGCCCATCAGTGCAACACTCGGACAGTACAGCGTGTGTCCTTGGCTGGTGGTAGACAAACTCATTCAGTGTAACGTGTTTTCATAGTATAGTGCAAATTTTATGCACGAAGTGGAATTTTGCTACACGATCTCAAAAGGACGGTGTAGAGTCAGTGTAACATTTAAAATTTGAAAATGAAAGTCAACCGACAGCAGGATTAAACACGATAGCATGAAACAGTGTATACCATGGTGTATGTACAATCATTATTTTATACTAAAAAGAGTTTTTAATACTAAAAATTATTTTATATTAAAAATAATAATTAAATTTGGCAGATGTATAAATTTAACAGTGAAGTTAAAAAAATTATGCAGAAAATTTGCTTACCTTCCAACTCTTCTCGTAATTTCAGTCGTGTAGGTGCGACAATATCTGCACAAAGCCAACCAATTTTATTAAATCTTTGTGAAATTTTTATTTTACATGTAGAAAACCATTTTTATTCTTTTTTATCATATACGGACAGCAAAGGAGAAATTCTGGATCTTCAGAAAAATTTCACCAAGTTGCGTTGACGCTTCGCATTTCTGGAGAACATAAAGGGTCTTACCTCGCGTATATCCTCTGGATAATTTCGAATCGGGTTTGTACATTGTACCACGCTGCTGCCATATATTGGGATTGTATGAGTACATCGAGAATCCGTTAGTGGTTTTAGCGGCTCTGATCTGTCTCTTCGTATATCTCCACATAGCGCGCAACTCGTCACATGTTGGCTCAGTCAGGTCCAATCGTGTGTTGCCGATGTCAGCTTTACTTGCCGCCTGTGGATCGATATATCGCAAACCCGCGACAAACGATCCGCTTGTGTATGTCAAAACGAAGGCGATGCACACGGCCGCGGAGCGCATTTTCTAAAATCAAAACAATGAAAATCGATCGCGGACTGATGCGGTAATTATATAGGTATAAGATATTGTTATAGGAAAGCTCATCTATTTATTGAACTGTTTCTGCTTTTTGATTCTAGATATTTTTTAAATGTGTATAATTAACGAAGAAACTGTAACAAAAAAGTTAACAAGATTAATTTTTTTTTACAGTAACATCTCTATATTTTACAGTATATCTCAGCTTTGAAATTTCGATTGTGAATCACGAATAATTATACTTCTAATAAATTAAATATATCTTTTAATTGACAAGAAGAGGATTCTATTTACAAATATGTAAAATAATTTTGGTTTTAGTAACGCGATGTTTATTCTGTAAAATTTACAGAATGAATTTATCAGATATGTCGCTTATGTGCTAATCAGGTTCCCTGTAATGTATATATATATAATGGCTATCTAAATAAAGACACTTGCACGAAATTGCTAGAGATTCAGGTTCGACTCCTGGCCGAGTTAATATTTTTCACAATATTTACAGATTTTCAGCACATTAACATCTCACTAGTTTGATTAAAAATCAAGTTATTAAATTGCTTGTTATTTTAATTTGTGATATTATTGTAGCAGTTCAGTTACGTTTCTTAATCCGAAAATCCAATTCAGCACATAATTAAAATGACTACATATATAGTATATAAATTCACATGGAAATTATTTAAAGTTATCATCAAAGATCCAGCTTTGAGCGTTATTAGACTTTAATTCTTACTTGTGTATTTATAAACAATAGATAACTCTCACCTTCCTCTCTTACAATTCGTAAGGTTGATCCTTTAAAAGAGTAGATTTCTCAAGTTTTTGCTCAAATTACCATCTGAGATAATTTCTACTCCATTCTCCAATCGAAAAAATGCCTGATAGGGGCGATTAACAATTTCACACAGAGTTTATTTTTCCATTATTTATTTTATTTTTTCATTATTTATTCAAAATTATTTCCGAGTTAATGAAGACATTTAAAAAAAATATTTGAGACAAAAGTATTATTTCTTTTCGCATAGAACCTGATTCTGCAATAAAAAGTATCATTTTTCTCTTAAAAATTTAACTTTTAATTGGAATAGTCCATTTCCGATCAGAACCGGAAGTAAGTAAAAAAATATCACTGTTCAATAGAACGTACTTGATTTACTTATCAAAATTTTTGGTATTTTTTTTTATAAGAATCACATACACTCTTCATTTTATTAAAGATGTATACAGGTGGTCTAGGACACTCTACACAGGGTGTTTAGCGTAACGGTCGACACGATTTTTTTATACACTTCCGACAATTAAAAAGAAAAGGTTGAAAGGTGATGATCCATATATTTCATGCGGGCTACAACATGCGATAAAAAAAATTAAAAAAAAATTTTTTTATTGAAAAAGTCAAGTCATCTTGAATTTCTTAAATAGCACCATACAATTTTTTGTCTATGACATTGTAGGGATCTTCAAAACGAATTCAACGCACTATTGAGATTGCCTCTTTCATTGATGTTTTATTGATTTTATTGATATACGTAGACCCATAATATCTATCATAAATATTTATTAATAAAGGAATACTTGCGTGAACTTATTAACTTATGTGAACAAATTTTATTGATTTTATTGATATTTAATATCAAATTTGTAATATTATAAACATAAATTAATAATGAAAAACTGTAACTTATGTAAGCAAATGTTCAAATAGCTTGCCTTCTTCTGCAACGCAAATTTTCTTCTCTTTTTAATAAATTACTATGCGTAGCAGCTATTATACTATTTTGATCCAAAGTTGCACAAACTATAATTATTCTTTCTCAAAGATCTTGAATATTATTTATTGGTGTTTGATATACAAAAGATGTCAAATGTTCCTATAAGAAAAAATTCATCGGAGATAAATCCGGAGAACGCGCCGTCCATATGTACTTATTAGGTGTATATCTATGAAATGCGGATTTTTTTAAGGAAAAACACATGTTAATCTTTTCCATCGCGTGCAAACGCTCGTTAACACTTTTTTGAGTCACATTTAATACTTCCGCCAATTGTGATTGAGTTTGAGTGGAGTCTTCGTCCAACAATGCTTACAACACTGCATCTTCAAATTTTTTCGATGGTTTTCCCTCAGCCTTATCTTTCACATCAAAATCACCAGTCTTGAATCGATTAAACCAACGTTCACGAGTGTCTTGAGATGGTGCATGTTCGTCATAAACTTCTACAAGTATTCGATAAGTTCGAGCAGCAATTTTCTTCAAAATGAAATAATGAATAAAAACCTCCAGCAATAAAACATCAATAAAAGTGGTAATCTCGATAGTGCGTTGAATTCGTTTTAAAGATCCTTACAATATTATAAAAAAAAATTGTATGGTGCTATTTAAAAAATTCAAAATGACCTTAACTTTTTTAATAAAAAAGAATTTTAAAAAATGTTTTGTTATATGTTGTAGCCCGCATGAAATAGATGGATAATCAATCTTTTTTTAATTGTCGGAAATGTCTAAAAAATTGTATCGACCGTTACGTTGAACATTCTGTATACGTAGGCATATGAATGTATACACATATATAAGATATCCGACAATGGCTTTATTATCTCTCGTAGGCAAGTAGAGCGGATTAAACTGACAAGTAAGTTAAAAAGATCTCTATCATTTTGCAATTTTCGCAATAGCTAGCAAGATATTAATTTCTAAAGATTGTCGAATAAGCGGATAAAATCGATACAACTTTAAGATATTTTTCAGAGTTCTTTATAAAATACTTTAAAGATGTCTTAAAGTTGTCTTATATGTTGATTTTAGACATTCTACTCCTTAGATAATTAAAAAAAAATTGCAAAATAGTAGAGAACTTTTCTCTCAACTCAGTTTATTCCGTTTTATCTGTTCACACGACCGGACAATCTGTACGGACATATATGCGGATACATATATGAATTAATCAACGTCTAATCAACTTTAGAGAAAGTTATCTGAATTGAAATTCGACTCAGAGAGAGAGAGAGAGAGAGAGAGAGAGAGAGAGAGAGAGAAAGAGAGAGAAAGATTATACAAAAAGTCAATTTTATTTAATATTTAGTTAAAAATTTAATGGTTATTCCAACAATGCAGCGTTATAGTAACGTACTTTATTTCGCACATTTTGCAAATAACAATTATTTTAGAATGTCAGGAATTAACGAGATTCTATTTTTTCTCCCGAATATGAATATTTCCTTCATGTCCGTGCGTCGCGTAATTATTACGCACGTGTATCGCTATTAAAATGCAATCGGATTATCAATGGCTCACTGAATATTATTACACTTTTTCGGAGAGAGCTTGTATTGTCCGCATTTACATGCATGACACGCAAAATTTACCTATCCATTATTGATTTCTCATGAGGCGTGACGTATATAGCACTGTACGTTTATTATCAGATTTTATATCAGGATTTGAGGTTCTTTAACAGAATGGCACGTGCTTTTTTGATTAAATATCTTTTGCATGCATGCTTTAAGTATGATTTGAATATAATTGAATTTTTATATTATATATCGTAATTGAATATATATAAGCTTAATTTAATAAATTATTAAAATTAATTTAAAGCTGAATATTTTGCAGTTTATTTTACAAATAGTAGCTTGCAAATTTAACAGTACATTAAATTACATAAAACAGATTATTAAATTAATTTTACACATATATTATATTAAGCAAAGTTAAAAACTGTTCTTCCACGAAAAATTTAAATCCGTCTTTAATATTTTGTTATTCAACACATTTTCTGGTTTATTTTGTATAAATATAATAGAAATAATAAGAATTTTTCTTATTTTATTTCTGTTACATTCAAACAAATTATTAAATATATAGGAACTTCTTTGTGATCAATTAAGGTTTTGTTGTAATTAAATACATTTTTAAGTTATCTGTAATTCTAATAAAAGAATTATTCAAATTCTTTTAAAAAGGGTTATTCAAAAGATATCAGGACTATAACAATGTATTTGACATTATGATTTATTAAGCCGCCGTGGCCGCCGTCGAAACGAGCAACATGTGTTTTCACCAGTAAATATACATATTTCAAGGAAACGTATGTATATTGGAGAACGGTCTATGCATATTCAAATTTGGCATCAGCACCGTGTTACGCACATATATGTCGATTCACTTGACAATCTCATAGCCGTGCTATCAGCGTGCAGTACTATAAAGATTTATGAAAGGAATCTCAGCCGACACAAAAACAATTAAAAAAACGTAAAGTAGCAAACTTACAAGAAAGTTCGATTATCTGGATTAGCCTGAAAATACGGAAGCTCGTGGATAATAATTAATCGATTCTTTACGAGCTCTGCAGCTTTTAATCTTGCGATGGTTTCACAAAAATGAAAGTATGAGTGAGCAAAATTGATATTCCAGCTTCATAAACGCTGTGGGTTCATGGAACGATTCCTTGCTCAATATATCATTTGACATTTCTTTCTATTATGTAAATAATGATAGATATTAGACCTTTATCTTGCTCTCCTTGCTTTGTCAGCTTCCTTAAATATCAAGTGATTCTATTTTCTTTAAATTTCTAGATAGAAGCAGGGTTGGCAACGTTACCTCATAAAAATAACTCGTTACCGTTACTCAAAATATAACGAATCGTTACTTTTTCGTTATTTTTTTTTTCTTGACACTAATATAATATTAGGTGCAGATTTTTCTTTTAAATGTAGAAAACATCAAAATTCTATTTTTTAGTAGAGGAATAGAACTAAAAAAGTGTATATATATATACATATATTTATATATTATACGTGCTTTAAGTACTTTACAGAGAGGAACAGATCTATGTTTGGAAGGCACTTTTAGTTGAAAGCAAAAAAGTTTTTATTCCGGCTTGCATGTAAATTGTATTTATAGAACAGAAATGCGCTGGTCGTGAAAGGTGACATTGCCATGAATGTAAAAATACAATTCGTTGAAAAAGCT